ATAAATTTGCGTGTTATCAGAAAACACGTGGTAATCGAACTATGTCAGATGATTATGAAAATTGGAGGTATAAAATCTATGTAAAAGTGGTCCCAATACACAACCTTGTGGAACCCCTTGGTAAACCACTATGCTATTTGATATTTCATTTTCTGTTTTAACAAACTGAGTTCGGTTTGATAAATATGATTTGGGAAAAGGATAAGCAGAAGTGGTCAAACCAATAAAATGTAAAATTGCCGTTAATATTTGATCATTTAATGTGTCGAATGCCCTAGAATAGTCAATCGATGAAAAAACACCCATCTCATTTTTATCCAAGGCATACAAAATATCATCTGATTTGGTCGCTAAAGCTGGGGAACAGCTGTAACAAGATCCGAAACCAGACCACCATTGGTGGTAATATTTTATTCATTTCTATAATGAAGGGACAATTTTATGAAATGGGACATTTCTGCACTATACCTTCGCTGTTACATTTATCGAAGTCAACTATAGTATGAGCCAACTAAGATGAGATTTTGATGGGCGCTTAAAAACAAATCGTACCCGCCCCAGAAGATAGCTATTGGTCACACAAACCGAAATCAATAGAACATTTGCGAATTATGCCTCAAGTGGGCGGAGTCTTTCAACACAGAACGATTTTACGTTTCTGCGCTGACTCATCTTAGTTGGCGCGTACTATACCATTTCATATTGGAAACTGCAAATCAGAAGGGGTTTCCATCTCTGCAAAACCAGAGGGTCATGTTTAACAATTTAACGGGACTACCGAAATTGGTATACGGCAAAATGGGATATTGTCGAACTACTCACTCATACAACTAAAATGAATGTTTATTTTAGCACCCAACCGTTCATCCATCTAGCTAGAATATCGACGAAACATCAGGCGCGCTTGATCTAATTCACAAGGTCACATTCTCGCAAAATGAAGCTGCGAGAAAGGAAAAATGGAAGAGTCAATCTGATCATCTGCTAGTCGGTATTAGAAAAGAATTGGAACTCGGCTCTTCGACAGAATGTCGATGAACTAACTGCTTTTGAATGAACGCCAAAACTGATTGGGATGTCGTTATTGAAAAACTGCCCAGTTTGATTGATATCCTACTGGAATGAAATTTTCGTGGAAAAGGAAATGTGAGCGTCTGAAAGGAATTCACGAAAAAAAAGATGGAAGTGATGTTATTAATTTTTGATCAATCATGGTGTACTCATAGTTTTCATGGAAAAGTGTTTTGTTTTTTGCTGCATTTTCAACCTTTCGTGATAACGCACGTATGAGCCATTCAGTTCACAAAGAAGCCATAGAGAAATAAAAAATAATTCAAAATATAGAATAGGCTCATTTTCTATTTTCCATTGCCGAAATGAAATCGGCCCGTAATTTGAAGAAAATCTCTGAATAAATCAGATTGCTCAAAAAACAGACCCAAAAAAGCGGTTCATCGAAAAAAAATTGTGACGCTACCCGATATTTTCGTGTGAGCGGCGTGTGAGAATTTTTTTTGTTGTGTATCTGTTAAAAAATATCTTTTTTTCCGTTAATCAGCTGTTTCCCCCATGCGAACGACAACTCTCAGAAGTTGAGAAACTTGTGCAAGCTAAGGACTAACGAGGTCTCACCTTTCAACGTGTGATTCCTACTTGCCTATTTTGTGAGAGTATAGAACATGAAAAGTGTTAAAAACGTATTGTATGTTACATGAGTGAGCATAAACAAATAGAAATGCACCATACAAATTGATAATGACTACAAAAAGTGAATGGAGCTCTGCAAATAGCCATGCAAATGGGACAGATCATTGAATGAACTTATTTTTCTTGTCAGGATCATTTTTATGTAAATAAATCACATTCATTTTTCCTGTCCATATCCTGCCTATGTCCTTTACATTTTCTGTCCATGTCCCGTCCATTTCCTGCTAATGTACTGTTGATATCCTGTTCATATTACGTCCATGTCCTGCGATTATACTGTTAATGTCCTCTACATCTCCTGTCCATGTATTTTCAATGTACTGCCAATGTCATGTTCATATCAATGTCCTATATATGTTCCGTCCATGTATTGTGTATATCCTGCTCATTACCTGTCAATTTTCCGTCTATGTACCGTCAATGTCCAGTCCATGTCCAACCAATGTCCTTTCCATCTTTGTCCATGTCCTCTCCATGTAGCGTCCTGCCAATGCCCTATCAATGTCCTGTCCATATTCGCTCATTTCCTGTCCATGTCCTGTACATGTCCTCTCAATGCCCTGAAGTTTTGTCAATGTCCAGCCAATATCCTGTCGATGTCCAGTCAATGTCCTGCTTATGTCCTTTCCATGTCCTCTCCATATCATCTGAAAGTCCTATCAATGTCCTGTCGATGTCTTGTCCATGTGTCGTCCATGTTCTGTACATATCCTGCTCATTTCCTATCAATTTTCCGTGCATGTCGTACCCATATCTAGTCAATGTCCTGACCAAGCCAAGACCAAATTTTTATCAAATGTCAAGATTTTGTCCACAGTTTCGCTCGAATACCGTGGCGTAGTGCATCAGAAGTTCTTGCCGCATTGTCAATAAGGAGAAGGTATGCGCCGCTTGCGAGCAGCAATGCGAAGAAATCGTCTGGAATTGTGGAAAATCAATTCATGGCTTTTGCATCATGATAATGCACCTGCTCACTCCTCATAGCTTTTTCTCCAAAAACAACACTGTAATCATGTATCAGCCACCGTATTCGCCAGATTCGGAGCCCTGCGATTTTTTTCTGTATCCTGTATCAGAACTACTTTGAGGATTGGAAAAAACGCTGGCATATCTGAGGAAGACTACTTTGAAGGTTATGAAATATAGATTTATAAATAAATTATTGTTTTTTTTTAAAAATTAGGAATCACTTTTGTTTTTTGAATAGACAGCGTGTATGAAAATTCAAGGTTTCCTTTTCCATTTCCAAGAAATATTTTACAAGCATATATGGATGTATATGTCGAGTGATGACGGAAATTCTCAAAATCGAGACACAATTATCATTTTCTTCGAAATATTTATACCGAGAAGGTACACACTAACTAGTCGATGATTTCTGAGAAGACGTTCCATTGTCTCACCTTCCAGCTAACTGGTGATTTCCCAGAATACTTTACTTTTCCAAATACCTACCAGTGTATTTTGAATGTTCTCCTGCAATCATTCACGGAATGCATGTCATAAATAATATTTATTCGGTTGAATTTCGGAAACAATCAATGAAGAAACACTCAAAGTGTCACTGATGATTAATGACCAATCATGAATATTCACACAAAGTATGGTGGAAGTTGATTGAGTTTCAACTGATGGGATGCATCACCAAACATTTGCTTCAATATTGATTGCGAATGGACGAGTCATGGCTGAACCAACAATGTCGTTTTTTATTCAGATGTGGAGCTTTGAATGGGACATTTTTCCTGTTTCGATGCAAGAAATCTGCTACTTATTATCGAGAATCAAGTTTACTTTTTCAGGATGTAAATAATGTAATGATGTTCTTTCAAAGAAAGATTGGTATATTATACAGTGCGAGTCTCTAACATGGAACAAATTCACTAAATCAAAGGTGTTGTTTCTGACCTGACAGTGACATTGCCTTAAAAAAGTTATCAATAAAAAGTAAGGAGAGTAGTATCGAATCCCTGTAGACTTTTTCAGATTAAAATTATCGCAATGTCTTATTCGAAGTAAGTATTTCCATTGAAACTGTAAAATTGTTTCTGAATAAACTATAAATTCCAATAAGGAATATGAATCTCCATTTCCAAACCAACAAGAATATATTAAGTGTATTTCTCAGTGCAGCCAAACTTTTCTACTTCCTGAAAATGTCAAAGTCGAAGCCGAAACGTCGAACAATGCAAAATTTTCAACGCGGTTCAACTTGAAATAAGATGTTCAAATTTCTAACCGCGGAAATCTATTCTATTTGTACAATTATCTAGTGATGTTTCGAATACTCCATCTTCATTATCATACCGACGTTCAATTAGATATTATCAGTATCAATGATAATAATAATATCAAATTCATTTACATCAAAAGACGAATCATAAATACAAATTATAATGTTTTGATTCACTAGGTTGGATAAAGAAAATGGATAGAGTCTTTAAAACGTCACTAGATGATGTATACCTATTTCTTTCAATATGCAAAATTTTTTAAATTCAAGTTAACGACAAATTTGATTTTTTTCCAAAAAGCTATCAAATGCAGTAACTTTTTCCCTTTCTACATTTGTATCTATTTGTAAATTTAATATTCTGATTATATTATAGTAACAATTCTAAATTATAAAAAACTATTTCAAATATAAATTGTCCTTCCCAAAATGAAATTTTTGAAAAAATTTGGTTTTACTATATTTTAATTATCTTGTCATCATACAGAATATATCAATGGAAAATTTATATCAATACCCTCAGTCCGACGCCTATTATCAACATTACCTTAAACGTAATATCAGAAAAAACATCGAGCGGTTCTTTTGGCAGTATTTTCACATTCTTTGTCGTTGTTTTCGCGTTCTTTGTCACATATTCCTATTTCGATGGCTCGTTAGCGGCGTCCTCAAGGAATATAGAGGGTAGACATATCTCAATGATTTTGTGAGTGAATTGCGGTGCTATTTGCTAGAGACGACTATGTTGCTTCCTTTGATGTAGCGACATGTTTGCATTCTTGAAATTCTTTTACTCTCAGACAATACTGAACGAACTATACCGAGATATATAATTTTTCTCCTATAATGAATTGTAGTGAATGTTAAAACTCTTTCATTGGTGTGGGTGCCCTTCGAAAACACGTAGCATCCATCCTAAGCCATTCACCCTCTCAAATTCCCAATAACCACCACCAATGTCTCTATCGCAGCGGCTCGATCGAATAGCAGCGCATGTAGACCTGCGCAGTCTTTGTTTCCAAGGCGCAGCGCCAGTGCAGCAAGAGGACCGAGAATCGGGAAGGCGATGCAAAACAATCGTTTACAGGCCGCGATCGACCGCTTGCTTTCGTTTGGTAGCGCTAATCGGTAACAAATTATTGGTGACTAGATTATCCTGTGCTGATAGTGCTTCTGGTAAGTGACGAGAGTTCGATTGTTAAGGTTTTGAGGCCGTGGGAGAGCGGAGTGAGGTTGTGTCTCTGGATCGAATCGCTTGTTTTCATGTTTCGTGCTGTGAGAGTGGAAGTTCTGGCTGTCTTGCTCCGTAGAGAGGTTTGATGTGCTTATTGAACTCATATTCGGTACATTATGGATAGCCTCACAAATTTCCCAAGTACCTTGAATGCTTTCTTCTTTCGCGAATGCTTACTATTCTATAAGATACTTGGTATATCGAAGATTGATCCATTATAATACGTATATGATAAAAATGCATGTGTGCTTCTGAAGCCATCTAATTTTTCATCAGTACTCATAGTGAAAATACGTTTAGAATGCTTTTCTGTCCAAAAAATATGTCCAAATTTAAGCGCCAGAGCTATTGAAATTACGGAAGATACAGATACTGAAGTAAAATAAATATCTATTCTGGTGTAATATTTTGTAGCTTTGTAGCTGATGATGTGTGCATTATTTCTCACAGATAAGTATCTGCTAGTCTGACCAATATTCAATTGTTGGCTGCAGTCGCCCACGACAGTGATAGATACATGAAAAACTACATATTCAATTCACAAGTCTATTATACATAGTCCCATATCTAATATATGACATGTCCGATATTAAAAAAAAGGCGACTCTAGTGATATCACAAACTACAGGGCAATTTCAATTTTATGTAACTTTTCCAAACTTTTAGAGATATATGTGCAAAATGTTATGTACTCCCTTATTCAAAAAGTTATTTCTCCTACTCAGCATGGTTTCTACAACAAAGATCATGAATGAAAAACCTTGCATGTTTGAATCAATATCTCTGTACGTACCTGGACAAGCAAAAACAAGTCGGTTGTTTATTTAGACTTTCAGAAAGCTATCGATCAAATAGGCCATTATGTTCTTCTCAGCAAATTGACAAAATTGGGACTCTCTAACCAACTGCTTACTCTAATTGAATCATATCAAGTTAACAGGAAACAATTTGTCGAATATGAATCGTCTCAGTACGTAGTTACATCTGGGGTAACACAAGGTTCCAATCCTGGACCTCTTTTATTTTTTATTTTTATTACTGACTCACTTCATTCTCTTGTTAGCATATGCTCAAAATGGGCACCTCCAGCTTCCATGCAGTAATGGAGATTTTGCCAAAAACGTTCTCGAACATTGTGGAACATTTCTGGAGTGATTTAGCGACATTCATTTGTGAGTCGTTGCCGTAAATCTTTGAGTAATGTAGGAGGAGTACAGTAAATTCTGCTTTTCAAATGACCACACAGAAAGAAATCTAACGGCGAAAGGTCTGGTGATCGTGGTGGCCATTTGATAGTGCCTTGCCTCCTAATCCAGTGATCCGGAAAAGTCTGATCTAAATACTGCCGAACAGGCAGAGCATAGTGCGGATGAGCCCCATCTTGTTGGAATATTGACAGATCCTCCCGATAATTGTGTTATTTTCAATAATATCAGTCATAAGGGGATTAATAATTTCTTCCAGAAGCTCCAGATACATCTGTCAGGTTAAATTGCCTTCTAAAAACAATGGATCAACAAAACGGTCACTAAAAATTACAGCGCATACATTTAGTTTTTGTGGACGTTGAGTATGCACTTCATGAAAAGTATGAGGATTTGAATCAGCCCAATAGCAACAATTATGGCGATTAACTGTGCCATTTAGAAAAAAAGAACATCCATCACTGAAGCAAATGTTGAAAACAAAATATGGATTTTCCACCACTAGTGGAATCATCTTTATTCAAATTGAAGGGGTTTTTTTGCGTTAATTTAATCTTGTAAGGATGCATTTTGTCGGTTTTTAAAATACGCCGAATGCTAGTTCGTGACATCTTGGAAACAAATGCTTTCTTGTGCTCAAAATATGGGCAAGTTCAGTGGCGTACAACAATTTGTTGCTATTAACAATGTTGAAAAAGTTAATTATCGGAAAGAACTATTTTTAATACGTCGAAATATAAAAAAATGTACACCATTGTGAGAACTCCAAGATCTTTCAAATGATGTGCGACTCGCCCCCTATTCCCTGTTGAAATTCTAAGGGTTGTTCACCCCTCTGCTCCGGGGTTGAAGTAACGACGCTGTAAATGGGAAAAAAAACTGCTTCCTCCCAAAAAAATCGACCTGTCTGAGCGTTTTTTCGAATTTGCAAGATTAGTACCCAAAACCTCCATGTCAAGTTTTCGATGGCCCACCCTCTATATATTTGAAACCAAAAGCCTAAGTTAGTTTTTCCCACGTGATTGTATGGAAAATAATGATTTCCATTCAGAATGAAAAGGCTGTATTTGTCATTACTACACGAGTACAAACATAGCTTCTTTATCCTCAACACAACAACTGAAACAAATTTCGTGTAACAAAGAAACAACTTGTCCAGATTCAGTGAATCGCGGCAAAGCAAGAAACATTCCGGGGATTTGAATGTGATTTCATAATTCCATTCCTCTGTTTGGACAGACAAATTTTCATGCGGGATGTAGCCAAATGAAATACGTCAACCTCTCGGAAATTTATGGTATGAATAGCGGGGTTTCTGTGTGTTGGAGAATTTAATAAAAGATAACAAGTTTGGTTTGGTACCATTTCTCTAGCAGCGGAGTTGTCCCTGGTCTTTTAGTTATTGCTGTTGAAGGTCTGTTTATGACGTTGCAATTTATTCATGAAGATTTGTTCACTCCCAAAGGTTGATGTTTGGAGGGTGTGATTATGTGAATGATTATGAGGGGGAACCCTCATAAATTAATATCCTGAAAGAGTTCGTTCTTGATATGAAAAGACGATGATTACTAAAAATTCCTAAGGCTATCGAACTCAAACTTAGCACACAACCATCCATTATCGATATCAATCAAACGACTATTAGAAGGTATTGGCACTTCAACTGGGTGTCACTTACTCTTTTCTTATTCGGGTCTCAAACATTTCTCGCGACATATTAAAATTTCTATGTGAAGCATTACGATGACAAATCCTCACAAACTCATTCTTGTAAATACTGAATCAAGCAGAAAAAGTCTTCGTATTTGTTTGATTGTGGTAAACATTTTTCCAGATACTTTTATTTCCAGGAAACCAAGATTGCTACGAAGATCTTGTTGTGATCATGAAAACTGACAAATTAGTATTTGTTCGTTTATGTTTTTTTGTCAAAATTTTGAAGTAATGATTTTCTTCACTATTCAGTGTAGGCTTATTATATCCAAACCAATTACATACATGTTTCAGGTTTTGTTCTGCTTTTGCTCTCGAGGCTACACATTTTTGTCTTCTGGTGACAGTGACTATAGTCATCGGAAAGATTTTCTATGAATTGGAGCGTTTACGGACTATTTACATAGATAGATAACATCAGTAGTCCAAGTACTGTTTCTTGTGGGACACCGTATGTGATCACCCTTCAACATCTAATTCAAACTCATATTGATAATATTGTATGATATTCACTATAAACAGTTTTACAGAAACCTCCGTATGATTCATATTACAGCAGAGATCAGACTGATGAAACTGAACAAAACTTTTGGAACAACTCAATGAGATCTGAAGAATTGTTTCCCAATTGTTATTTTGTTGATAATTTCAGAATTCTATCTAATGAACGCGTGTCATAATTATCATGCAGAATAATTTTATAATCTGTTAGCTTCAATATGAAAAATTGATCGAATGACTGGATGATATAATAATAATTATAATAATAATTTCATTATTTCCTATGAAAAATTAAAGGTTTACATGGTATTCGCCTTATGCCACTCAGAAATCCAAAGCGGGAGTTCACCTGCTATTTTAAATATTATAACTCAGAAAACTAACCTGACATATCCTGAAACATCTATCTATAAACAGTTTTTAGCATTTATTTGCATATCTAATATATGAAAATGGATGTTTATTGGTTGGCTGGTTGGTAAGTGATAAACTTCTACATCGCTTAACCGATCGTGATGAAACTTGGAAATGTATGAGTTATTTTTCATAGAAAAGGTTTTTAGGCTATCAATTTTTCTGTAACTCGCCACTAGATTGCGCTGTAGAACAATTTTTTGAAAGCACTGTTCTATAACGCTGCGCACGTCTAAGTTCGTTGATTCTGATTCTGTAAAAACATTGGAACACCAGCGGTACAGCAACATAGTACTAGTCATTTATAATAATAATAATAATATAATAGAAAATCATTAAAAGACTCTATGGATCCTATATTCTCCTATATTGCATATAGGTAAAGAGTAAAGAGGGTGGATCCTTCAGGAGAAGGAAATATAAACAGCAGATAGTTGTTGGTTTACATATAATCTAAAAACACCTTCCGCTGACCAACGTCTTCAGTTCATCTAGGATAGATCCCAGCTTCCTTACTCTTTCAGCTGATTTTTGTCGAAGAAGGACAAATGGGTTCATTAAACGGGATACATGAGGTCCTTATTTGCCAGTGTGTCGAGGCCTTCTATATCGAGAGGGGTCGTCTACAGCATAGTCTATACCTTTCCTAACTAACAAAAACTTATCGATATGAGATTTGAACCCATGAAGTCGGCATGACAGATATTGTCTTTAGCCTCGACACCATCGTAAGATGTTTTGAACACCTTTCGGTTCTGGTGCAGGTGTTTTAAGTCGCAGGCCCAGGACAGAGATATCAACCTGCCTAGGAATCAATGCGACTGTATTTCAAGCAGAAGTTTACGCTATAGAATTGTGTACGGAGAAATTGGAAGAATCCAACCTCATGCACAAGTCAATAAAAAATATTCTCGGGCAGTCAAGTGGCATTGGAAGCTTTTGGATCTTACCAAGCAACGTCTAAACTGGTAGCAAATGGTCAAAAACAACTGTCCTCGATAGGAAAACTAAACAGATTTTCTCTGGTCTGGATTCCTGGCCTGGAAAGAAATGAGGCTGCTGACTCCCCTACGTAGGAGAGTGCTGCAAGCAGCTTCATCAGACCAGAAACTGACAATGGCATTGCTTTAGGCTATGCCAAACAAACACTAGACACCTGAATGGCAAGAAGATTCATGGATTTCTGGCAGAATCTTCCAGGATTGGCTCACTTCATGGCATCCATTCACCCTTCGAAGCTTGATACCAAACAGCTGTTGGACAACAGTGGGGATGAACTACAATGTCTATTAGGCCTTCCCACAGGTCACTGTCACTTGAATCATCATATGCAGATAATCGGACAGTTGGAAGACAGTGTGTGTCGCCACAATAAACCCTTGCGGGTTGCGGTGGAGATTCAAATAAATCTACTCACTTTTGACTCAACCTTACATAACCTAACATATCTTCTTATGAATCTGTGATTATATTCACTCCAAAATTCCAAATATCCTCCTCGTTGAACATGTAGAATTCAAAAAAGTCAATGAATTCAAAAGTCAATATCTACAAACTTCAAGACCACAGAAGGTTGCCAATGGATGAACGGAAAAGAAAAACATGGCCTCATTCCGATCCATCATCTTTTTCATCGATAGCCAATTACTGTACCTACGGCATGTCAAGTGGTGGAACACAATAGGAGAGTTTATATTCAATTTATTTCCGATCGATTACACCTTCTAGGCAGTAACCAAGTTACTTTCTCATAACAAGAAAAACATGTTATAAACTGTCGTGTATGTTCGTAAAGTGAGTAATTGTGAGTTGTATTTTTTCACTCGCTGATATGATCATACACGATCATATGTTCAGTGTATTATAAGATGTTTGGAGAGTAGTAAAAACAACTTTTGATCAATTACTGGAACGAATCGATGTTCAATCTTCGATCTGAGTGTTGTGTTTTAGTTTCGGTGAGAGGTCATCGTGGAAATTTTATGAAGTGTGTGCGATTTCAAACCGCAACACCCTGTTATTTTGGAACCCATGAACCGATTTTGAATAATGACAATCTTAAATTATGTTACTTGACAAGCTCTATCCAAATATGTTGACAGATATGAATTATTCCCATTTTCACGGCTTACTTTGGCCTGCAAAATGAGTCGAAATTTCGAGAAGGACCATTAGGTATTTTTTTATGGGAAAATCGGATACTCCATTCGATTTGGACATATTTTGAACACCTAGATTCCCAAGTTTCAGCCCAATATCTCCTACAGGGTGTTAGTAATGAGAAATTTCCAAATCCATGATTCTTTGACGAACCCTGTATGAAACGCTATGAACTGTACAGAAAAGATGAAGTAACCATTCAATGAAATGATCGTTTCATAGAGTTGTTTCTAGTTTATTCAAAATGGAATTGGTCTTTCTATTTAAGAAACTACTTCCATGCTCTTTAATTCTTTGGGTGAATGTTCTCTTTGTTTGGCCAATATACAGTTTTGGGCAAGAGCCACAAGTCAGCTCATATACTCCTGATGTATCCGACCCCAAAGTTGTGTCTTTATTGTTTTCAATATAGGAATTTCGAAAGGAATGATGTAGGAGAATGTCATTTCTCGGATTTAGTGAAGAGAATGTAGATCTATTGAAAAGTTACTTCAGAAATCGGACTCAGTCAGTATGTCTGGATGGAAAGTGTTCTAGTGCTTTACCTGTTGATTATGGAGCACCTCAGGGCTCTATCCTTGGCCCAATTCTGTTCTCTCTATATATCTAACTTTCATAAAATAATTGATCATTGCGCAGTTCATCATTATGCAGATAACACTCAGTTATATTATCGATTTCCTCCAAGTAACTGGCGGGTGACAATGGAAAAAATTAACAGCGATCTACAAAAGTTACTGGATCTATCTACAGCCCATAACCTGAAATTGAATTCTGAAAAATCTCAGCTGATACTTTTTGGCCCGAAACACAAAAGGTGGGAAATTGAAGAAAGAATTGAAATCCAACTTGGACAAGACTTACTACAAATAGTTACAGAAAGCAAGAACTTGGGTTTGTGGCTAGATGCTGATCTGAGATTTCACAAACAAGACAAGACAAGACAAGGCTTACTACAAATAGTTACAGAAAGCAAGAACTTGGGTTTGTGGCTAGATGCTGATCTGAGATTTCACAAACAAGACAAGACAAGACAAGGCTTACTACAAATAGTTACAGAAAGCAAGAACTTGGGTTTGTGGCTAGATGCTGATCTGAACATATAAATTCGTAGCTCGTACAGTATCTTACGTCATCTCTATCAAAGTAGAGATATAATGACTTCCAAATTGAAGTTGAAACTTTGCGAAACCCTCATATTGTTTAGATTAACATATTGGAATATAATCTATGGGCCTGCTTTGGTACAAATTGATGTAAATCGCTTACAAAAAATACAAAACAATTGCATTCGTCTTTCTTATGGTGTGAGAAAATTCGACCATATATCCCCCAAGTTCAAGGAGTCAGGTTGGTTACCGATTGCTGAAACCTGGCAGTTCCACCTACTCGTCAATACACATAAATTCCTCATTTACCAGAAGCCAAATTATATTTATGAAAGATATAAAACTTTCAATTCGAGGACACGAAACCGTCACACTTCAATTACCCCAAAACACTCGACAGCTTGCGTTTCTTGTAGTTTTATTTACAACTCTATCACACAATATAACGCTCTGCCTAGAGAATTTAGGCACTACTCCATATATAATTTCAAGAAAAGTTGAAAACATATCTGAATATATTCAAGTTATGCCTTGCTCATATAGTTATTCCTTTGTCTCACTTTTGTGTATGTTATACTATATATTTAACCTTATTTAAGCTAACTTTGGAATTTATAACCGTTGTTTTTTTCTTAGTTTCACAAATATTCATGAACTACTCACTTACCAATGTATACTACGTAATTATTTTTATATTCCTTTATAATACATGCTATCCCCCAGGTTAAGTTGTAAAACAGCCTCGGCTGAACTTTGTCCTTTCATTGATTTTTGTATGTACTTTTTCTTCATAAACAATGTATGTCAATGAATAAAGCCCATCTATTATCATTATTATTAATGAAGACAAAACTTTGGTCGAATCTATCATATACATTTTTGAGCCTCAAATCATTCTTCTGGAGTAAAAGTGATACAGCTGTTTATCATCAGCATAAAAGTGTACTTTAGTTACAATTCCGTTTGTTTTTTTTCCAGCTCGAACATCAAGGGTTCTCTCACCTGCATAAACTCATCACAACCATCGTGCGAATCCGTATCATGCTCTAAGCTCGCCATCTCGTGCCAATCAGGACTCTCATCAACCGGATAACCTCCACACACCGCGAGCCATCAAAACTCCAATCAAGCCATGAAATCCGCGTTTTGCCATACACAAGCCAACAAAGTCAATTCCACTCGCGTCTCATAAAACTCCCCACCCTCAAAATGCACACTCTCACCCTCCTCACCGCTCTGTTCAGCCTCTCGCAGGGGTTCTTGTTGGACGGTTCCACGAACTCTTTCTCCCAGTTCCGGAAATGGGGGGGAGGCACCAACGGCAGCCTGGAGTTCGAGTTCAAAACGGATCAGCCCAACGGGCTGCTGCTCTACACCGATGACGGGGGGACTTACGACTTCTTCGAGATCAAACTAGTCGAAGGGGCCTTGAGGCTGCGGTACAATCTAGGAGGCGGCGCGCAGATAATCACGGTGGGTCGCGACCTCAACGACGGGCACTGGCACAAGGTGCACGTGCAGAGGCACGAGGATCGCACTATTTTGACGGTTGACGGAGTCTCGCAGATGCGAACCTCCAGAGGCAAGGAGTTTAACTTCGGGAGGTTCTCCACGAATTCAGATGTTTTCGTGGGTGGTATGCCGATGTGGTACAACACGAAACTGTCGTTGCTTGCTCTGCCGAGCGTTATTTTTGAGCCGCGTTTCGTGGGAGCGGTCAGGAATCTCATTTATCCGGATACGGAGGGCGGAACGCCAAGGAGGCAGGAGACGAGGCCGAAGGATCATAGGGTGAGTGATTTTTTGGTATTTTCGGTTCATTTTTGGGTTGGCGTTGTCAGTTTCTGAAAGAAGCAATATGAAAAATATATAAACCTTGGGAAAGAAAGTGTTTGGCTTTCTACTACTCCATCTTGATACAAAAAAAGATGAGGTTATGCAAAGAAGTAACTTTCAGACACAAACAGAAAGAAATTCCCCCTGAAACAGCTACTTTCATATTGAATTACACAAAAGAAAAAAATTCTTTCGAAACAAATACTTCTATATGAACACTGAATTATACAGTAGATACTTTTCTCTACTCAGTTCGTATTTCAAAAATTCGTTGTGGTATAAAAATCAGATATCATTCACATGAGTTCTATTTTAAATGAATGGTAAAAAATTGCACTAACATGGAACACTGTCATCCTCACTGGTATACATCGATGTTTCGCCGTAAGACACTTGCCCTAAGGCTCATCAGTACCAATTTTTTTATAATGTTATCCAATTTGGTACTGAAGAGCCTTAGGGCAAGTGTCTTACGGCGAAATATCGATGTATACCAGTGAGGATGACAGTGTTCCATGTAAGTGCAATTTTTTTTCCATTCATTTAAAGTGGATCTCATGTGAATGATATCTGATTTCCATTCCACAACGAATGATTGAAATACAAACTTGAATAGAGAAAAGTATCTACTGTATAATTCAGTGTTCATATAGAAGTATTCGTTTCGAAAGATTTTTTTTCTTTTGTGTAATTCAATGTTTATATGAAAGTAGCTGTTTCAGGAGGACTTCCTTTCAGTTTGTGTCTGAAAGTTACTTCTTTGCATGATCTATACATCCATGTATAGAGTTACTTATTTTCAAATTGATTACTTCCTTTCTTTGGAAGATTTCCTCATCTTTTTTGTATCAAGATGGAGTAGAAGAAAGTCAAACACTTCCTTTCCCAAAAATTGACCACTCCTAAAAATATAACCTTTTCAATTCATATAAACCATTCATTAAAAAGTTGAAACTAAGTCACTGATGATTGTCTAATGTTTCTCAACGTGCACAGAAGTAACGGGGGTGATTTCAAATCAGAAATGAGAATGAACGTATTATTTCAGAGGACCACGAAGTTGAAGGTGACATTGAATGTCAAACTAAGAGAAAACATACTCTTACTCTCACCTTCACCATCAACGCTGGTGTTCCCCAGAGATCCATATTGTCTTCAACCCCTCTATAAATTGTATATCAACAAATAATTTCTTTGCTGACGACAGCACGCTCGTCTCGTCATTCCATTTGGATTCCAGGACATCGGCTACGGAGGCATATCTTCACCTGCAGGAGGAGGTTGCATATCCTAATGAGGATCTAGATGTGATTTCGAACCAAGTTGAATCCAATGCCATGCAAACCCAGGCCGCGGTTCTTTCCAAAACGATAAATGTCTCCGAACCGAATGTAATAATATCAGGCCAGACAATTTCACTTTTTGCTTCGATAAGTTTGTTGGGGGTTAAAATGGACACTAATATGTTTTGGCACAATCATGTCGCTGGAATTACAAAGGGTGCTCCTCAAAAGCTTGGAACACTGTTCCGAACCAAAAAACTTTACACACCTTAGCAACTTTTGATGCTTCATAAAAATTAGATCAGGTCTTCTTTGGAATTCTCATTCCTGGAGCTCCACTTCTAAGCATACCTTAAAGCTGCTGGTTCCATCCAGAAGAAAGCCATCCGCCTGACTAAACACATGAACATCACTTGCAATCTTTATAGTCTAGAATATCAAAGAAAGTTTGAAGTGTTGTCCCTCTTTCATAGATACTTTCACGGGACGTCTACATATTAGAAATACGCGATAGTCTGTGGCTGCTCAACGTTTTAAGGTTCAGTATACCTCGAACTTCACTGTTTAGGAGCTCTTCCATTTGGAGAACTGCGTGTATGTGGAATAAAGTTTCTGAGAACGTTTTTTCAAATGAATTTAATATCCAGAGTCCGATAACGAAGAATTCGCATACACCGGATACATTACTGGACTAAACTGTTTATATAGAACAACCCTGTGTATATGACGGCGGTAACATTCTCCCTTACGGAAACGTTTCCTACGGAATCGATAGAAGCTCCAAAATCAAAGTTGAACTAGGTATCTCAAGGCGGTCCTGCACAGAACAAAGAAGAAAGGTCATCACTTTCATATCCTCATTTGGTTCAACATATCACCACTGATGAGACCTTATTGAGTCGAAACAGCGGCATTTATTGTGAATAACGAATGCTTTGATGATGCAGCTCAGCTTTGCAACGGATTCCTTTGGAGGGACTATTCTATATCTGATGTCTATTCTATCTCCAATGGTTGTGGTTCTCTCCAAGACCCGGAACTAGCAAAGAAATTGAAAATTTCATTCAGAATTGGCGAACCAATCAGCCAATTTCTATATATTAAAGGTATGAAGTTGGGTACAAAAATATTTAATGTTGATGAAAAGTATGACCAACATGAGGTGGACCAGGTCAAGAAAATCGGCAACCATGACTCATGAAAAGTGAATGAAAAATTAGGAAGTTGGCCATTGCAAACCTTTTTCAGGTGTCAATTTGAAATTCAGAGAATTTCGATTTAGATTGTGTGTAAAACATCAGTGATATTGCTCTTTAAATAGCTAAAGGTGACTTTTTTCCCGGGCCATTTGGAAAAGTTAAATTGATAATTATTTTTCGAAGACAAAACATCGAATTGCAAATCTGTCAGTTCCATCTTGTACTTATAGCTTGGAAGTGGCAATAAAAAAGTGATAACTCTCCAAATAAATAAAATAATAAAATACTGTATGTGGGTTATAATGTTGGTGATGATAGTGGCATATTTATCAATAACTGATCCTGAAATACTCAAAAATGAATCGATGTGAATGTGTCACTTGGTTTTCAGCTTCTCAGCTTTGTGAATTCATCTTTGTGGTACTTACATAATATTTTTACACTTATGTCACTACTTCCATTTTCATCACCACGGCGGCTCCGACGCCCAACATGTGGTAAAAACAACCTAAACGCACAATTCACCCTAAATAATATCAACAGAATGGTTTGTTTCGAACATAAAATATAAATACCTTTCATTAAAAACAACGGATCATTCAATTTCCATTTCATTTATTACGAACAGCCATGTCACAAACACCAAACAATTATTTCTCTTTGATCGACCTGGCTTTTCAAAGGGTTCAGTTACCAATATATTCTAGAAACTCACCAAAAGTTTTCATAATGATTGATGACTGAATGAATCGTTAAACATTAGGTTAGCTCTTTTATACTACCTTAGTATTCCAGAACATTTTCGTTTATTACCCAACTTCTTTATTCATTTGAAATGTTATTTTCGAACATTATTTTAGTTTTTTCAATACAGTGTGTAACAACGAAAACTTAACAGAGCCGTTTTTGAATATAAAAAGTGAGATTTTAAAAAAAGCTCGGACATGTCGATTTCTAATTGAAGGGGGACACCTTTCAGACTGATCAGATTTTTTGTAGTACGCACCCCCTCGGAGGGGGGTGCGTACTACAGACCGATCACAGAGAGTCGAACTGGATGATTACTCATGGTCATTCCTAAAAGAAACTAACTCAGGTGTATCGCAGGAAAGAATTTTAGGACCCTTGATGTTTTCAGTGTTCATTTTTCATTACCCCACTGTTTTGAATAAGTCAAACTGAAAAAACATCCAGAACATGCATGAAAGAACACAGACACCGTTTTCAGAATGAACAATAAATGCAACGTAGGTAATTCCTTATAGAGAGACATAAGTTCAATTATGGAATCAAAACATCTCATGAGCGATCGAAATGAGTTGAATCGCTTCACGTTTCTTGAAATATTTCTAGCAGATAATCATGATCTGTAGCCACAAAATAATTCATAAGAAATATTCATCAATTTATCGATCTTTTTCCGCATAATTTCACTAGTAAAGAAGTAATTACATGCTTTAACTAGATGAGAAAGGATTTCATACGCTTTTTATCAGGTAGTTGAATCTAGACTATAGAATTAATTATCTAATTGAAAAGTAGATCATGTTTCAATTTGAATTGGAGGTTTTGCGGACCTTTCATAGTGGAAATCAAAATTAATTTCATAAGTGGGTAATTTTCATTATTGTACCGGTATAGGAAATGTTTCTAACAAAATTGACACTTATTTCCACCATTTCGTATTACCGCAGCACTAGCAATATGCAATACTGAAACATTCATTGCTTGAACACAAGTTTCTACATTGCTCCAAAGCCTGAATATAACCGAATCCTTCATTCCGTCAAAGCCAAACTTTTGCGCATAAATTGCACTCCATCACATTTGCATAAACTCGACCAAACCAAAAGCTTGGACTGTGCGCGGGAATTGATGTAGCAGAATACTAGGTACATCCATTCCTGGAGGGCACTATTAAACGAGGACCTGCGGCTATCTCAATACCTTCCGAATTCATTAAATGTTTCGAATACTGCAAACCCTAGCATACGGTTTCTTCTATTGAGAAAATCATCACGAGTCTCCGCACTAGGGATCTGACCCATTCACTTCATCTTTCATTCATAGATTTCGCGGAGCGAGCCAAAATTCAACAGAGATGAATTTAATCGAGAAAGTAAATGTTTTATTATACAAGATTATTTCGAAATTCAATGTAGAATATCGTTACCGATTCTGCAGATATAATTTTGTCTTCACCTGAGGTTCTGATCATATACGGGGTGAATGAAAAGTGAAACAGGTGAATTAAATTATGTCAAAAATGTTTGGTTCGTGATATGTAAAAATAATATTTTTCGTATTGTTCGATATGTGCTGTATTGTATGTTATGTGGAGTGTGCTGTATGTGTATCTGTATCTGTAGAGTAGGGAGGTTGAGTGTAGATTTGGGCCACATGTGACCCATTGTTCTCGTAAGTTATTGTCCATTCTGTCCTTTCCTGGAAGGTGAGCAAGTCACTAGGAGAC